AACAGGTTCCAGCTGAATGGTGTGAATCGGTGATCATACCGATTTACAAGAAAGGGGAAAATCACAGACGAATTAGTTTAATCAACATCATCTCTAAACTTCTCGCTGCAACCGTACTCCGTCGATTGTCTGCCGCACGTGAACGGTACACGCGTGAGAATCAGGCTGGTTTTAGGCCCGGTCGAGGTTGTATCGACCACATTTTCACTATTTACCAAACTCTGGAGCACCCGCATTCCTCGATCTGAAAGCGACTTCCGGCTCAGTCGACCGCTCTGAACCCTGGCGTTGTCTTTCTTTGTAAGGTGTGCCCGAGAACTTAGTTTCAATATTACCACCGCCGCTTTATGAGAGCACTGTTCCGTCAGGGCCTTGAAATCAGTTAACCAAATTGCCTGCTTCTATACCTCAGTCGGCCTATTCTTCCGTTTAGATTACATTGGTATCTAAATACACGGTGCTTTCCCCATCAGCGTGAGCTCGTTATTCCTATGCGTTTTTCAGGTACATCTACCGGTGGTGTTCTTTCTCTGCTTCTTTTGCGGGGAAAATGTCTGCGCTGTTGCCGGAATTTATTGTTTGGTTTCAAAGATCAAGTGTTCTCTGGCCGTCGACCGTATCCAGCGGAACATTTAGAGAAATTATTGCGGCGTGAAATGGGTGAAAAAACAGTTATGACCGACCTTAAAGGTCTTCGGTACGTTCCCCAACTGTTGCATTCATTGTTCAATTTGGTTTGCACATTGCGGTCATTTTTTACAATTCTATACGGGAATCCTGAGGAATTGCTGTCTAAAAGTTACTTCTCTATCATGAAAACTGCTGTCTACCTTGTTGTGGTCAATTGTTGTCCGTGGTTCAGCTATTCCGGTGATTATATCGAATGGAAATTTGCTAGTTTTCATGAGTTTTGAGAATCATCCCTGTTCCAGTGGAGGATGCACCCTTGCACAAATTAATAGGCTTGATCCCTTTGCTAGAGTGATAGATTTCAGGATCCGTGTTCGCTCCTTGTGTAATTCATTACTTCACTAGTTGATAATTTCTATTTGGTCCCGTTTAAATATTTCCTGTTCTCTTGTCTTATTCTGTTCCATTGCATTCACTTTTTTCTCTTATTCGTTAGGGTCGCGGTTACCACTCTAGTCAGTGACCGTTGTCCACCGGTACTTCACATGTTCCGAAACTATACCTCGCCTCGGGTACAATTACATAATCTGTTGACGGAGAGCCAAAAGCGATCATGTTACGGGATCACATCCCATCGAAATAGTGTACTGGAACGTGGACGCAACTCGGGATTGCGTCATGCATGTGTTTCCGGGGCAGGTGAAACCCCAAATGGTCGGAACACATCCCTAACCTATTCGTCATCTCTACTGAACTTTCTCCTCAGTGCTTCCGGATTCCAGAACGCTGGGGATGCTGGAACTATTCCGGAATCGCCACCGGAAACAGAGAACGAACACCAATTTGAGCCGTTGGTCCCGGACTCTGAGATGGTGAGAACTTCGTTTTCTGTTAGTTCCCTAGTACAGTATAAGAAACGCTTGCAAGGTTTTGGTTTACTTATTCCCTGAGGTCTTTTGCGCAGATAAACATACGACCACGACAAAGGTTGATGAATTTTGCACACAGCCTCGGTTAGGGAAACCAGTCTCACCGTTTTATGAGTAAATGAAATAAAAGTATTTTACTTCCTCTTTTATTAATGGAGTATACAAAGTTGCAACCAACTTTCAGGAAGGAGGCGCAGCGGGAGATGCAGGGATAGGGAGGATGGGTGGTGATGGCGGGATTTATCAAGTCTTTACCTCTAACAGTAAATTGCGGATGCACACCTGTGGAGGAATCACCAGTAATGCATATTCTCATATCCAATGAGTGGTACTGGAATTCTGGTCGACATTTTTGAGGCATTAAATTCAGTCAGTGTCTTCTGAAGTGGATTTTGGCTGATGACTAAAAGATCATGTTAATAACTGCCTTCGTCGTTTTTAAACATACCAGTACAGCATAAGAAACTTTAAACCTATAACGGAAAATCAATGACATCTTTATATGAGGGGAGGATCAAAAGGAATGGATCTCTCTGTTCTCAGATACAGGATACAAATGTTTCATACCCATGACCTCCACGATGGCCGGTGTACTCATCCGGGCGAGTCTGAATAGATGCGCGGACCGTAAACAGTTTCGGTTTTTACAACCACTAAACTTGCATTCTCATGCGCCGTTAACAACTAAACTGAACTGTGCAGTTAAGCCTGGAAAATTTGTCTCAGAGTAGAACTGGAGAGCAGACTCGACGTGAACTTGATCATGTCATCTTTCATGAATTTTTCATTCGGACAGGCAATGGGGCGGCCAGTATCTCAATTTCAGAAGTTTTGTGCCACTCAAACGAAAAAGAAATCTTATTCAGTGTTTGGTAAACAGGACGGTGAAAATATTCACCGATGCCACCATAAATGCGGAACTATCATTCATTCGTGATGTTTTCCTACAAAATGGCTATCCGGAACGTTTTGCGAAATAACCGTCCGAGGGAAAGACTTTTAAGCCCACAGAAGAAGCCAGTATACATTTCGCTCACATTCAAAGGGGATACAATCGCAGAATTGGTTAGCCGCAAACTACGAACTGCTTTGGAGAATACTTTTCGCGCGGCAAAATTACGTGTCGTATTCACGTCCAGACCGATCATGTGTTCGCAGCTCAAAGACAGGATTCCTGCTTCTGCAGTCTCATTTTGTGTGTACCAGTTTACGTGTTCTTGTGGAGCAACGTATGTCGGTCGCAGGAACACGAGTTCGGGAGCATCATCCGGCCTGGCTGAACATTGGTTTGATTAAAACTATTACAAGTGCCATTGTTTCACACCTCGTCGAGTCCGATCACACAGTGAGTGTGACTGGAGCATTGCGGCCTCTCTACTGTGTTCGGGGTCGCAGACCAAAGCGGAATAAAAATCGCACCCTAGCCACCGCCGAGGCGGTTGGCATTCATCTACATAATCCCCCCTTATGCCCCCAAAACCAGTTTGTGAAGTCACTCAACCTACCATAGCCCTCCACCGCCCATCCCCCTTTTGCCAATCACACCCAAATCACACAATTAACACGGAACAAGCTGAAGTTCCGATGTCAAGATCAGTCATATCCGGTTTTGTGAAATTAAAAGAGAAAACAATAACAACAATCCCCATTTGAATAATTAATAACTTTGTTTCCTCTTTTCTATACAAAATGATATCAGTTATTTTTGTTGTTGTCAGAGCATCAGATGAACTGGTCGTTTTTCGTGCTGCATCATTGTCCGGATCGGTTAGAATTTGCAGTCACACTCGCACACCGTGTACTTCGTGTACAGCACTTTCTTGTGTGGTGCGGACTGACTCATAAATG